ATACTTTTCATCGTCACCAGTTAATAGCTGGAATTAATTAGTTCTCTTCATTCTTTAATTTCATTTTTTTTTCAAACATCATATGTTTTTTGTATTGTTCTAATATCTTATACATATGAGAAGAACCGATGTGAACTTGCAATATCCACTATTCCTGCACTCCCTTTGCATATGTCCAGAGTTTGATATAGACCGAGTTTGTTTTAGGTCGAGTTATCCAGCAGCGACTGTGGCGACACCTGTTAGTTCTTTTATTTTGTCCGTTTTCGTTTTTTACCTCTGTTTTAAATTTTTTATTGTCTGTTTTTTTTCAATGTCATGTCTGTTTTCGTATTAGACCTCTGTTGTCTGTTTAATTTATTAATTGTATGTTTGTTTTTTAATTCATATCTGTTTTCGTTTTTTGGTGTCTGTTTTTCATATTAACGTCTGTTTTTTAATTTGATGTCTGTTTTCGTTTTAGGTAAAATTGAGAATGGAAATGGGGAATGTGTCAAAGAGACAACAACCCGGCCATAGAACAGACAACAGCAGAAGGTCACCAACAGGTCTTCAATGCAGCGAGAAATTCCCGCACCCGGAGGCGTCCTTCAGCTGGCCCCTAAACAAATATATATACTAGTTCAGTGATAATGAACGCCATACTAAACTCCAAATTGTACACAAGAAACTAAAATTAAAAATAATACAAGACTAACAAAGGCTAGAGGCTCCTGACTTGGGACAAGCGCAAAAAAAGCGGCGGGGTTAAAATGTTTATGAGATCTCAACCCTCCCCCTATACCTCTAGCCAATGTAGAAAAGTAAACGTATAACAATACGCACATTAAAATTCAGTTCAAGAGAAGTCCGAGTCTGATGTCAGAAGATGTAACCAAAGAAAATAAACAAAATGACAATAATACATAAATAACAACAGACTACTAGCAGTTAACTGACATGCCAGCTCCAGACTTCAATTAAACTGATTGAAAGATTATGTCTTCATCATATGAATATCAGGCACAATCCTTCCCGTTAGGGGTTCAGTATCATACCATCATAACATATATGAGAAGAACATAACCCGTGTCATGCCAACAACTGGTTTTTAAATAAAAGTGTTTAGTGCCGATGCAAAGACCCTATAAGTGAATCAATATTAACGCCAAAATATGCAATCTTTTATGACCTGACAACAGTATCGTAACTATATCCCTTCTTAATAAGTCTATTTAAAGGTTTTGTTAGCTTCAGAGGTGAATACTGACATTTTTGTGCTTTATAAAGAATATTTCCATAAAAAATTGGATGTGAAATACCTGAACGTATAAGATGTCTGCATGTTGAGCTATATTTACGAATGATGTCCTTATACCGATGATAACATTTAGTAAATGTTTTGACTAGTTTGTGATATCGAAAACCCTGGTGTAATAATTTTTCAGTAATACATAAATTTCTCTCGTTAAAATCTAAAACATTGTTACATACACGAGCGAATCGTACAAGTTGAGATATATAAACACCGTAAGATGGTGACAAGGGAACGTCACCATCTAAAAATGGACAATTAACGATAGGAAATGAAAAATCATCTCTTTTATCATATATTTTAGTATTAAGCTTTCCATTAATGATATAGATATCAAGATCGAGGAAAGGGCAGTGGTCATTGTTAGTATTAGCTTTATTTAAAGTAAGTTCAACAGGATAAATTTCTTTAGTATACATACTGAAGTCGTCATTATTGAAAGCCAAAATATCATCCAAATATCTAAAAGTATTATTAAATTTGTGTATCAGATGTTGTTTCGATGGGTCTTTGCTGATTTTTGTCATAAATTGTAACTCATAGCAATACAGAAAAAGGTCCGCAATAAGTGGTGCACAGTTAGTCCCCATTGGAATTCCGATAACCTGACGATATACGGAATCTCCAAAGCGAACAAAAATGTTATCTAGTAAAAATTCAAGGGCATATATAGTTTCAAAGCATGTCCAATTGACATAGTTTTTTTGTTTATTGCTACTAGGTGTCTGTTTTGATTTTTTAACGTCTGTTTTTTGAATTTTATGTCTATTTTCGTTTTAGGTGTCTGTTTTTTTTTTAAATTTTATGTCTGTTTTCGTTTTAGATGCCTGTTTATTTTCATTTCAACGTCTGATTTTTAATTTTATGTCTGTTTTCGTTCTTCACGTCTGTTTTCGTTTTTGGCCTCTGTTATAATTTTATGTCTGTTTTCGTTTTTGATGTGTCTGTTTTTTTTATTTTAACATCTGTTTACTTAATTTCATGTCTGTTTTCGTTTTTGACGTCTGTTTTCGTTTTTGACCTCTGTTTCTAATTTTTTAACGTCTGTTTGCACATTTTTATGTCTGTTTTCGTTTTTGAAATCTGTTTTTTGTTTTAACGTCTGTTTTTAAATTTTTGTTTAATTTTGCCCGAATGTCTGCTATAAAAGACGCTAAAATAAAAGTTGCTGTAGATGAAAGTGTATACAGTATATAGTATAACACTTTCTCGATAAAGTGAAAATTGAGTAAAACATAAATGCAAGAGTAAACAAAATGAAAACAATACAATAAAAGCCTCTTGCGTCCGAATCGCACCTCATGAAATTCTGCACGAAAGACGCCAAAAGCCAAAAACCATATAGCTGGATGCATTACTTCCGAGTCACGTCAAGATTCATGCGAACAAAAGGAACATAATAGCACATAGACAAATAAAGAGAAAAATGTTAAGTAGATAAAAAGATACAGCACATAGGATCTATACCATCTCAAGACCATCTTGTATTATTTGTGAAGTTTTTTTTACCACGGACAGCAATATGACTTGGGCAAATCAGCGTTTATTACATATGCAAAACCCAATGTTTCGTAACAAATATGTGATAAGCATTATAATAAAACATACATATCATTTTCGATTTAATTATGAAGTGTTTTGCATTTCATCATATATTTCTGAAAAATAATCAAATCAATAAGATCAATTTAGTTTACACATGATATCAAGATTGGTCTGACAAAAAAACCACACGATTTGATATTTGACAAAATATTAGAACAAACAAAACAGCATACGATTGGGAATGAATACTAAAGACTAAGCACGGACCGTTAGACGTAAATGTATCACCCTTGATATAACTATATAAAAACAGAAAGAAGTTACCAAAGGAACAATATCAAACCATAATCCGAAACGAAAAAAAAAAAAAAACGAGAAAATACTTATTCCCTAGAAAGAAAGTAAGAATAAAAGAAAATGAACAGACATTGTTTTGAGCGAGTGTCAAAGCTGCCGGAGCAGTAGTTTACGTCATCAAAACACCTAACTGCACGCTCTTCTTCCGAAATGGTATGTGTTCTTTCGATTAGTGCTCGACATGAAGTTAGTTTTACGCCTTTCATTTTCTTAAAGAGTTATGATTAAATTTCAAAACTTGCCACTGATATATCCATATACGTTGTTGGTTTTATATAAAACATAATTTCTTCTGCTAAACCCTTATTGCACTTTACTTTAGGTCTTCCGATAATTAGTAGTTTTTTTTCAAAGAAAGACTGTAACTGGTCGATGCTCAGATAATCTTCCATTTGATAAAACGTAAGTTATCACTAGATCTGTAAATTTTACTTCTATAATCGCTTGATATTACACTGATACATGAATATTCATACTGTAATAATTTTCAGAAAACCATTTGACTTACTTGATTTTTTTAATGCAGATAGGCGTTCGGTTCAAAATAAACTAAATTGTATAAAAATACTCTTTTGCTAATGGAGGAATGTATCTTTCCCTCAAATTTTTTTATTTATTTTTGTCGTTGGATTGCTGGTTTACAGACTAAACAACCACGTTTCTTTTTATTCAAATGAATCGGAGCTATCATTTATACCAGACCAAAAGTAATTTATTAAAACACTTCAGTTTCTTACCATAGCATTCAAATGCTTTAAAAAAAACATTACAACTAGAATCGAATACTGCAAATAAAAACAGATTAACAAGGAATATTAGTCCAATACGACAGAAATCACAAACTTTATCTACATATTCTAACAGAAACGACAAAACAAACTTTCTTTGCGGATGTTTTCAATAATGGGCAGGAAATCTTTTAATGCTAATCGAATTAGGTCCAATGCTAATACGTCTAGGATACCACAAACCACCTATCTGCTGAATAACAAGAGAAACAAATGGAGCCATTTAATGTCACCATAAAACAATATTGAATTCATGGTAAGTAAGGGATAATGCAGGATTATATCATTTGGAAAAAGTCCGATCAACATAACTTAGGGTTGCAACAATAATGGTACCTGTTATGTCCAACGAATGCATGGTGTTTTGCGTCGCCCAAATTATTGAATAACTATGCCGCTATTCTTATAAATAAAGATCGAAATATTCGTAAACTTCTGATGACGAAAATAATATATTTTATGTATTTTTTATTTATTATGTGAACCTCCAGATTCCCCTCTAAATGTCACCTACGAAAAACTACGGTTATTCTATAACTGTAAGATTTTTAGCTACAGTTTTAACTATAACAAGTCTTTTGTGTGTGTTGATGGTGGGGGTGGACAGGATGTACATTGTTCTTTTGTAACTTAAATTTAAATTAGAAATAGAAAAGATATTTCAAAATAAAACATAAGCAATGTTTTCAACATAAAAATTCTTACTGTATAGTATCAGGAATTGTTTCTTGTTAAAAACATGAATATTGAAATCATTGCAGTTTAGTACGGCATCGTTTCAAAAGTTCCTTTTATAAAATACGGTAGTAGAGTCGATCAAATATCACGTGTCTATGCTATGAGCCAGGATTTTGTCAAAGAACGTCTCGTCTTTTTAGCAAAAATTCATCGGAAAGTACTAATAGATAAATATTCGGGCTGATACTAGAGCTGATGTGAAAAATGCCATGTAATAATCTATAATTATAAATTATACAAATTTTTCAAAATAAGCAAATGTATTTACCTTAAACAATTATTTTACGCTTTTCATGGCAAATATCTTCACACTTGTATAATGCATCAAGGTAAAATTTGAAGTTTATTATTATAATATGCATGTTTGTATCGTCATGAATGTATTTTAATATAAAAAAGTATATCCTCACTGAATATAACTTTTAAACTATACTGTTTATACTGATAGATAAATTATTTAAACTACAATACATGTAAATATTTCAATTATATGAACAGCCACAATCATATTTTTGTTAAACAAGAGGCTCTCAAGAGCCTGAGTCGCTCACATGTATTTTTTTGCTTAAATCTTTCATCAATGATTATTTTTGCATTTCAATATATATTAATGAATGGCTTAAAACTGCCATTGAAATGTTTTTATCTGTCATATTTTCTTCAAAATCAAAGAAATACATTTTACCCCTATGTTTCATTTTAGCCATAGTGGCTATGTTTCTTGACGTACAAAAAGATAAAATACAAAATTTATACTAGATACTCTGAAACTCATTCAGCCCAAGTTTGGCTGAAATTGATTCAGCAGTTTCAAAGGAGAAGATTTTTTAAAATAAGCAAACTAAATGAACAAATTGTGAAAAATTTATTTTAAAAGGCAATAACTCCTTAAGGGGACAATTGACAATTTTGGTCATACGAACTTATTTGTAGATCTTATTTTGCTGAACATTTTTGCTGTATACAGTTTATCTTTATCATTAATAATATTCAAGATAATAACCAAAATGTGCAAAATTTCCTTAAAATTACCAATTAAGTGGCAGCAATCCAACAATGGGTTGTTAGATTCATTTGAAAATTTCAGCGCTGACAAAGCTTGGCCTAATAAACATTTTTACCCCTCATCAGATTAGCTCTGAATGCTTTGGTTTTTGAGATATTAGCCAAACATTGCATTTTACCCCTACGTTCTATTTTTAGCCATGGCGGCCATGTTTTTTACGAAACAGAAAATAAAACACAAACTTTATTTTAGATACCCTTAGAATTATTCAGCTTAAGTTTGGTTGGAATTGTTCAGTAGTTTCAGAGAAGAAGATTTTTAAAGTTAGAAAACATGATAAACAAATTGTGTAAAATTGTCCTTAAAGGGCAATAACTCCTTAAGGGGGTCAATTGACAATTTTGATCAGATGAACTTATTTGTAGATCTTACCTTGCTGAACATTTTTGCTGTCACAGTTTATCCTTATCGTTAATAATATTCAAGATAATAACCAAAAACTGCAAAATTTCCTTAAAATTACCAATTTAGTGGCAGCAACCCAACAATGGGTTAACAGATTCAACTGAAAATTTCAGGGCTGATAGAACTTTACCTAATGAACACTTTAATCCCATGTCAGATTTGCTCTTAATGCTTTGGTTTTTGAGATATAAGACAAAAACTGCATTTTACCCCTATGTTCTATTTTTAGCCATGGCGGCCATGTTATTTGACGAAACAGTAAATAAAACACAGACTTTATTCTAGATACCCTAAGCATCATTCAGCTTAAGTTTGGTTGGAATTGGTTTAGTAGTTTCAGAGGAGAAGATGTTTGAAATAGTTTACACCAGACGAACGACGACAGACGACGACGGACGACGACGGACGCCAAGTGATGGCAAAAGCTCAGAGTTCCCTAGGAACGGTGAGCTAAAAACGAGCTGGTTACCTGTCTATATCGTTTTATGTACATTTATGAGAAGTATACGGTTTATTCACTCCAACTTTAGTTTTTTTGGCAACTGTTTTTGGTAACAATTTTGTCATCATTGTCTTTATATCTTTCATATCTGTGCCCATGGTTTCTTGATTTTGTTTTAGTTCGGAGGTTGCCTCGTCCACTTTTGACATCAAATTTGACTGTACGTTTTCCATGCATGTTTGCGTATTCTTTGTTTCCAACTTAAGGTCTTTATACATTGTGTTGACTTTTGAATCTAAGTTAACGATTTTAGTATTTGTTTCCTGCTCTAAGTCATTAATATAACCTGATAAATTCTCATTTTTCTTTTCAGAATCCCGTTTGAAAGTTTCGAACTCACGTTGAAGCTTGTTTTTTTCACCTTCAACCTTGTTTAACTTTTTTTGAGTTTCTGTTAAGTTATCAGAAACTGCTTTTAATTTTTGTTCAAAAATTTTCTCATTCTTTTTTACTTTAGCATTCAGCATTCTATGATTATGGGTAAGTGTGACTAGCTGCTTCCTAGTGTTTGTGTCATCATCTAACCGAGTCTCTGAAGAATAACCAATGCCACTGCCTTGTATCTATTTGAAAAAAAACAAAAAGTTTTAAATAAAATATAGATGCCACCACAATCTTTTATATAAATTTTTGCACCTCATGTTTGCGGTATACCATCTTTTTGCAAGTTTATTGTTTTCTGTTTGGTATTAAATTAATATGTAAGATACATTTTTTACATCTGGTGATCAATTTATTTGGCAATCGCCAATGGCAGTCAGCAGGGTTTAAAAACATCAGTTGTTCGACCTGTTAGTCAAATGCGTTTGTTAAAATATACTTTTTCACTTTTTGGTCTTTTGGAAAATGTTGTTTGTGCTGTATTTAGACCCCTCTACTAAGAAATTTGTTTTACATACACATGTATAAAAATTGCGGTTTTTATCCAACGCAATCATAGGTTTGAACGTTGTTTTTCAATTTAGACTTGTTTATATTTTTTCGTTTGGGCTTGTATTATATTTTCCTACGGATTTATATGATCCGATCATCCTATTTCGACTCTTTAAAATGCAAGAGTCTATCCTTAATTGAGGTAAATGATATGGCCTTCCAAATTACGTTTCGATCCCAAACATCACTAAAGAGACATTAATTGTCGAAATCCGGATATGGTGTACAAATTTTTGCACCTGATGTTTGCGGTATACCATCTTTTCCGCAAGTTTATTGTTTTCTGTTTGGTATTAAATTAATATGTAAGATCCATTTTTTACATCTGGTGATCAATTTTTTTGGCAATCGGCAATGGCAGTCAGCAGGTTTTAAGAACATCAGTTGTTCGACCTGTTAGTCAAATGCGTTTTGTTAAAATATACTTTTTCACTTTTTGGTCTTTTGGAAAATGTTGTTTGTGCTGTATTTAGACCCCTCTACCAAGAAATTTGTTTTACATGCACACGTATAAAGATTGCGGTTTTTATCCAACGCAATCATAGGTTTGAACGTTGTTTTTCAATTTAGACTTGTTTATATTTTTTCGTTTGGGCTTGTATTATATTTTACTACGGTTTTATATGATCCGTTCATCCTATTTCGACTCTTTAAAATCCAAGAGTCTATCCTAAATTGAGGTAAATTATTTGGCCTTCCAAATTACGTTTCGATCCCTAACATCACTGAAGAGACATTAATTGTCGAAATCCGGATATGGTGTACAAATTTTTGCACCTGATGTTTGCGGTATACCATCTTTTCCGCAAGTTTATTGTTTTCTGTTTGGTATTAAATTAATATGTAAGATCCATTTTTTACATCCTGTGATCAATTTATTTTGGCAATCGCCAATGGCAGACAGCAGGGTTTAAGAACATCAGTTGTTCGACCTGTTAGTCAAATGCGTTTTGTTAAAATATACTTTTTCACTTTTTGGTCTTTTGGAAAATGTTGTTTGTACTGTATTTAGACACCTCTACCAAGAAATTTGTTTTGCATGCACACGTATAAAAATTGCGGTTTTTATCCAACGCAATCATAGGTTTGAACGTTGTTTTCAATTTAGACTTGTTTATATTTTTCGTTTGGGCTTGTATTATATTTCCCTACGGTTCTATATGATCCGTTCATCCTATTTCAACTCTTTAAAATGCAAGAGTCTATCCTAAATTGAGGTAAATTATATGGCCTTTCAAATTACGTTTAGATCTTTAACATCACTGAAGAATAAAGGCAACAGTAGTATACCGCTGTTCGAAATTCATAAATCGATTGAGAAAAAAACAAATCCGGTTTACAAACTAAAACTGAGGGAAACACATCAAATATAAGAGGAGAACTACGACACAACAGAAACACAACATTAAAATGTAACACACACAGAAACGAACTATGATATAACAATAGCCATTTTCCTGACTTGGTACAGGACATTTTAAGAAAAAAATGGTGGGTTGAACCTGGTTTTGTGGCTAGCAAAACCTCCCGCTTTTATTGCAATGTTAGATATAACCTTAAAATGACAACATTACATGACAGGACTACAATACAAATAAATGGGAGAACATATAGGACAGAGAAACATACGAATAATAGCTAACAAAACGTACCAGGTTTAAAATTTAATACGCAAAACGCGCGTTTCGTCCACACAAGGCTAACCAGTGAAGAGACATTAATTGTCGAAATCCAGATATGGTGTACAAATGTTTGCACCTCATGTTTGCGGTATACCATCTTTTCCGCAAGTTTATTGTTTTCTGTTTGGTATTAAATTAAGATCCATCTTTTACATCTGGTGATCACTTTATTTTGGCAATTGCCAATGGCAGTCAGCAGGGTTTAAGAACATCAGTTGTTCAACCTGTTAGTCAAATGCGTTTTGTTAAAATATACTTTTTCACTTTTTGGTCTTTTGGAAAATGTTGTTTGTGCTGTATTTAGACCCCTCTACCAAGAAATTTGTTTTACATGCACACGTATAAAAATTGCGGTTTTTATCCAACGCAATCATAGATTTGAACGTTGTTTTTCAATTTAGACTTGTTTATATTTTTTCGTTTGGGCTTGTATTATATTTTCCTGCAGATTTATATGATCCGTTCATCCTATTTCGACTCTTAAAAATGCAAGAGTCTAATATGAATATTATGAAAAATTATTCGATAAGTTGATTTTTACTATTAAGAAAAAAAACCCAAATATTAATGTTTCACGATAATTGTTTTTAAAGAAATATTCTAATTCAAATTTTATATTAAATATATATATATTTTTTTATTTCATAGAAAATTAAACGAGACTTCAATACATATGATTTTTGACATTTACTTTTTAAATACAATGTTTTAAACTAAATTCAGGCATTAAAAACAAAATTGATATTGAAATTTGACTTTTGTACAAAAATATGATATTGCACATTGTATACCCGCCAATATTTATCGACAGAGTTATCGGTCCTGAATAGGATTGATATAGTTGGGTATGATTTAGACCACTCTACCAAGAAATTTGTTTTACATGCACACGTATAAAAATTGCGGTTTTTATCCAACGCAATCATAGGTTTGAACGTTGTTTTCAATTTAGACTTGTTTATATTTTTTCGTTTGGGCTTGTATTATATTTTCCTACGGGTTTATATGATCCGTTCATCCTATTTCGACTCTTTAGAATGCAAGAGTCTATCCTAAATTGAGGTAAATTATATGGTCTTCCAAATTACGTTTGATCCCTAACATCACTGAAGAGACATTAATTGTCGAAATCCGGATATGGTGTACAAATTTTTGCACCTGATATTTGCGGTATACCATCTTTTTGCAAGTTTATTGTTTTCTGTTTGGTATTAAATTAATATGTAAGATCCATTTTTTACATCTGGTGATCAATTTATTTGGCAATCGCCAATGGCAGTCAGGCTGGGTTTAGGAACATCAGTTGTTCGACCTGTTAGTCAAATGCGTTTTGTTAAAATATACATTTTTACTTTTTGGTCTTTTGGAAAATGTTGTTTGTGCTGTCATTTCCAACTAAGTAAGACATCACGTGACTTTAGTGACGTATACGAGCCGCAATTTTGTGTCATTTTGTTTCATATAAAATGCATAGGTGCTTCAATGAAGTTCAATTTTCTCATTAATCTGACCCGTTTTCTAACTTTTGCAACTATATCCTTGGTATTCGAACATAATTCTACCTAAAAAAGTTGGTTCTGACAGTTTAATTTTTGATTAAATTACGTCCCTGGAGATTCGTAAAAATCGTACTTTTCCTCGTGATTTCTCCGTTGACTCAATGGTAAATCTAGCGACCCCATGTCTACTTGTACATTAAATTCACAAATTCCGTAAATAAAAGTAATACTTTGCAACTCGATTGAGAATATTAGAGCATATATCTGGCGAAATATTATACTTAAAACAGTTTAAATCGAGGGCAAATTACGTCCCACATCGATTTAAAAAAGTCATTTTTTCGGGATTTTTCAAAATGGCAGATGTGTTTGGAAGTTTCGCATGTATTTTTCATGATCGTGTTTTTTTCATGCAGAATTTGTGCTGTTTTGTTTATTGATATTTTGGATTGTTTGATTTCAAAATTTCTTGATAAAAATTAAATTATTTCAAGTGTGAAGTGAAAAAAAAATTAACACTGAAATTTATCAGAAAATAATTTTTCACTTTTTTTTTTAGATTTTTCCCCTTTTTCTCTGTATAATTTATCTTTATTTAAGAAAAATTTATATATTCTTTTAAGAAAAAAAATGTTTTCGTCTAAAGTGAAAAAAAATATGCCAAACAATACATAAATGCTCTGTACCTTTTAAAGTTAATGTCCCTTGACCAATATACGAACAAGTGAACTCAGATTTAGGTTATAATGTTACATAATAACTAATCATCAGGTAATGTAAGGGAATCGTGTCAAACCAAAAGCCATCAGGTGACATTAACATCCTGTGTTCACGTGTATTTCAAGAGTTTAGTTTTTAGTGATATACAAAAGTTTTCTGAAATGTACAAATAAATATTTTCCTTTTCCCGTGTACACAACCGAAGAAATGTATATCATAAAGAACTTTAAAAAAAATATGAATATTATGAAAAATTATTCGATAAGTTGATTTTTACTATTAAGAAAAAAAACCCAAATATTAATGTTTCACGATAATTGTTTTTAAAGAAATATTCTAATTCAAATTTTATTTTAAATATATAAATATTTTTTTATTTCATAGAAAATTAAACGAGACTTCAATACATATGATTTTTGACATTTACTTTTTAAATACAATGTTTTAAACTAAATTCAGGCATTAAAAACAAAATTGATATTGAAATTTTGACTTTTGTACAAAAATATGATATTGCACATTGTATACCCGCCAATATTTATCGACAGAGTTATCGGTCCTGAATAGGATTGATATAGTTGGGTATGATTTAGACCACTCTACCAAGAAATTTGTTTTACATGCACACGTATAAAAACGCAATCATAGGTTTGAACGTTGTTTTCAATTTAGACTTGTTTATATTTTTTCGTTTGGGCTTGTATTATATTTTCCTACGGGTTTATATGATCCGTTTATCCTATTTCGACTCTTTAAAATGCAAGAGTCAATCCTAAATTGAGGTAAATTATTTGGCCTTCCAAATTACGTTTCGACCACTAACATCACTGGTCTTGTTTGACTGTAATGCTTTTATAAAGAAAAAAGTTTGTTATATTCGTTTAAACTGTTTATCTTATTTTTCAGTAATTCTGAATAAAAAATGCTTGAAATATTCTTAATTTAATACACACATGAATTTATAAATCAAAAAAAATCTTAATATCCGTACATGCACATTCACTTTACAGAAATACATGTATATGGATGAATAAGGTCAATACGAGATTAGATTAAAGTTCGGCTTTTTAGATAGCTGTCTGTTTTTTAAGTAGGATCTAGGTTTTATCGAGTGAATAAACAATATTGCTATTAACGCATTTGCGTAACAAAAAATGAAAAAAATTAAATAAAGTATTTTTGAAAACAAGAACAAAATGCACATACACAATTATTACTTTAAAGGATTTCGATAATGTTGTATATGGACATTTCCTCTAGAAATTATCGTGCATTGGCGCAAATAAGTTGTGGCGCAAATGAGTTTATTTTTGGCGCAGAAAGATATCGCCCGTTTTTTTTACATTTATATTAAGCGTGTTTTTGTACTTTTCACAGAAATCGTAGACTAATTGTTTTCATTTACAAGTTTTCTAGATATTATTTTTTTTATATCTATCCTGCAATGGAAAAGAAGAACACTATATACAAACGTTATTTTTATGTAGATGAATCTAATCTGGAATATGTAATGCTTTTGTCGCGTAGTAACAACGCACCATGATAGCTTGCGTAAATCATTTATTTATTTACATTACAAAGTCATATATGACAATAGACATCGCATGAGATTCATATTATCCTATACTTCCTATACCAGCTTAGGACACTAGAATAGGCGAAGGCAAAATATAAAAAAACAAGAATGTCTCTATAGTACACAGATGCCCCACTCGCACTATCATTTTCTATTTTCAGTAGACCGTGAATTTGGGTCAAAACTCTAATTTGGCATTGAAACCATAAAGATCATATTATAGGGAACATGTGTACTAGGTCTCAAGTTGATTAGACTTCAACTTCATCAAAAACTACCTTATATAATGGTTTACTTTTATAAATTTTGACTTCAGGGATGGAGAGTTGTCTCATTGGCACTCATACCACATCTTCTTATATCTACTTGACCAAAAACTTTAACCTGAAGCGGGACTTGGTGTCGTCAGTTTTATAGAACTAATGTTTTGTGTTGCCCCATTGGTGTCTTGTGTTCTTTTAAAATTGACAAAGATTTAATTTTCTTACCATTTTGGTGCTATTTTCGTCATTTCTAATGGTTTTCATTACAACTCAAAAGTTATTTCTTGTATTTTTTTATTATCTTTTTTTAAATTTTAATGCAATTTAACTAAGTGTGCAACAAATGATTTATTATCATCATAAATTAATACAAGTTAAATGCAATGCAATCATTAAGAATATGAGTCCCCTATCGTTAGTTGTATCGACAGTAATGGTTCCATAATACTGCGATGTTATGGTAGAATGTACTCACAGAAAGTTGGCATTACATTAAAAAAGGGGCCAGTTGATGAACATTATAGATATAAGTTTTGAACACTTTGCTGACAATACAACTTCTCATAAAAATATGCTATCAATATTTTTGAAATTTTAAAAATAATATGAAATGAAAAACTCAATGGTTAACGAAGCTTAAAAATCATGCTGGGTGAAAACGAGTTTTTATAGTACTCAATTGTCCTCTTTAATTCCCTTAATTTGTAGAACAAAATCCTTACTGAAAAGGCCTTTATAAGATTAAACAGAAAATTGAATTCTGAATTCAATTTAATCTGTTTCACAAAAAATACAAACTCAACAGAATGTAAACAAGACTTTATGATACAATAACAAAGAAATTACTTTCTGTCAGGCAGATGTAAATTATGGCATCATGTACTGCGATACTCTATCTAGTTCTCATATTGTAACGTTATGTAAAGTGTAACAGGAGTACAAAAAGTCATGATTTCCAGTCAATTTTGTTATAAGCGGAATAAAACTTCCATTTCAATTTCCTATTTGTGATGAAAGGTATAATATGTTTGGACCATCATATATTTCCAGTTGCAAGGACATAAAAACATGACAAAACCGTTAATAATGCAAGCACCATTACAGGCATTTAAGCTGTACCAGAGAGTAAAAATAGTTTGTAAATTGAGAATCTGGGCGAATTCAAAGATCAATAACTTTGGAATGGCGAACATTGAACTTATGAAGTGATTATATTATTTCAGTCGTTTTTCTTCATAACCTACCTGTAGGATGTTTTCCAACTACTGTTTAGATACACCTCTTTAATGCTATTTTTTACGATTTATTAGAAAACACTAAGACACATTTAAACGTGTAACATGAGGTCAAATATATAATACAATATATGTAAATAACATGACAGAAGAACAATTAAACATATTAAAGTCAATACACATAGCTCATTAGCATCAAACAGTGTGAATGGTTATGCAAAAAGATATACAACATATATGGATCGAAATGACATAAATCAAAGAAATACATTAACTTTTCTGATGAACGAGGATAGCTTTTTGTATAGTTCAGTATTACAATAAGACAGTAAACCTTTAAACTTGATACTGCTCGGGTAAGCTGTGTAGTACATAGGTATGTATTTGTTTCTTAATGACACAATATTTTCATTTTTACATATAAACGAAATATGGAATTCATCTCCAATACCATTTGTACATAAGTTACATGTTCTTTCCTCCCTTGGTATATTGTACCAACGACCAGTTTCTATAGGTAAATGTAAATTAGATGTACGTAGTTTGGTTAACCACGTTCGATTAAATTCACTAAGTCTCAATAAGTGATTTTCCAAACAATGAGAACATATTCTGGCAAATAAGAGTTAAGTCGGAAAAAGTCTTTTAGGGTAGTCAGTGCAATATATTAAAGAGTAATGTAGCATTGCACTGAAGCTGATAAAAAATGTAATTTACAAGTTTTTTATTCAAGTTAAAAAGTAAAACGGGATAGGAAGGGTGGCAGATTTAAGTCGCGTCATATTTTGAGTCATAATCATATACTTTTTTAGAAATAAGCATGAAGGAAAACACAAGTTCAGTTACCTCATTTTGAGTACCCACTAGTAATACTTTCATATGGTATGAATGAAAGGAGTTGTGGGATATATTTCATTACGACAGCAACCTGTCGCCATAACCAAACAAAAATACATGTTTATTAAGCCGGTCAACATATAGAGTTTTCAATAATGGACATGTTTAAAACAGATCAAAATAAATTAATCAGACAGTTTTATCGATGGTATGCCACCATTTAATGTCAAATTCTTCAAAACACACAAATAACGATCAACTCCGAAATGGGCACTCCATTAGAAGGAGCCAATTGAACATCATCATCAAGGAAATGATATTTGATAATAGGAAAGGAAAAGTCATACCATTTATCATAAATTTTGGTATCATAATTACCAAGTAAAATTTCAATATCACGGTCTAAAAATGACATCGGTAAAATTATCGATTGATTGCTGGACTGGCTTTACCATGGCAGCTGGCTTTTATTGGTGGAGGAAGAAAGAAAACCACCGAGCTTCGACAGGAAAACTGGCAATCATAGTCAATTAAGTTCGGAGTCGAACTCCCAAACTCATTGTTGCCAGGCTACTGTTGACGTCCGGTCTATGTTCTTGCTAGATCCATCTCATTATTTCTAAATGATACTGTATATGAACTACTTAGAACACTCGCCCATCGAGGCTCCTGATTTAGTAAGAGTGAGTTCAACATTGTGTAAATGTTTTTTTTTACTGTTTTGTATAGACCCTTAAAATGTTTATCTTGGTTATATTTCTTTTGATCTATTTACTACTTGTCAAGAGGAAGTCGATATCCATATATCAGTAAGAGTGCATGAGTGTTTGTACTTACACAGAAATGATCAGGACTTTGACTTTGACCTATGGGTGGAAATCTTGTCCTCGATCGTCTGTCGTCTGTATCTATAATATAAAAACATTGTTATCGGTTTTCAAATATTTGGCTTTGAACACCACTGAAGATACATTTAATACCGAAATGCGAATCTGGCTGCCGTTTCATAAAACTATCGCTAATAACGACAAACGTAGATTTTAGCGTGTAACTAACGACTACATAACGATTACGTTTACGTGCGTTTCATAAAGCATACGTAGACTAATCGTTAGAATTTTCGATCGTTAGACAATCGCTATTTATTTTTAGAACGGGAATCCCCGGATATCGCACTCTTTGTCGTTGGAGAAAAATATGCCAGTAAACGACTGAGAGTAAAAAAAGACTCCAAGTACAAGAAATCCCAATTTTAAATGTTTCTTCCAACGAGGTAGACTTAATAAAATTGTTTCCTATTTATCAAAGAATAATTCATGCAAGTCCTAGATTAGTTGAAATTTTCACCTGACACACGATTTATTTTTGCGTAGCCAAATTGGCCTTTGTAGGCTACGCGTACCCGCAACCGATTTTATAATAAACTGTCATATGATCGGGAATGAAACGTGAAAGATACACGAAAAATATCGGATATTTCCTGACTTTGTGAATTCAGTGAAGATAATGGCAAATAATATTTTTTTAATTTGTATTATTAGTTATAAAAACCGAAATTAAATGTAAATGCACATTAAAAGAATAAAATTATACAGAATATGAATAAATATATGTAAAAAAAACTCGAGTGAAATTTTATTTGTTATATTTGTTTCGCGATCATTACAAGTAATATCTAAAAAAGTCACATGGTGTTCCTGTAATATAAATCTATACTACTCAAGGAAGAGACTGATTTCATTGAGCAGCAACTCCTCTGAAACTATACAAAGTCGGAAATATTTGTGATATGACGTATACATGTAGTGTTTTGTAGTACTTATTTTTCTTTGAAACAATCTTTTTTTCTACAGAAAACGACAATTTTATTTAGTAAATATCAAAATTCGAAGACCTTTATCAATTCGTGTCTTATACGCTTTCGTGTACATGCTCAGTCGGCGTACTACCCGCGAAAATCGATTTTTGTTTTGTTTCAACTCTTGCCTAATTGTACTGCGATTTCGCGGGCATCTTCTAGTAATATAGAATGCTGTCAGGATCAGTAAACTATGTTTTTATAAAAATTTAATACTTAACTGAACAGTACGTCAATTAGTCTTGGTGAAAATTTTAGGATGGTCTATCTGCCAACCTCGCGATGCAGCGATTAACTTCCGGAATCAATCGTACGGCGGTTATACCCCGTGGGCATGATAGAACTATTTACATATGTAACAATAAAATGTATTTAATATGGCCATATATTCTTGCAATCACGTATTTGCTAATTTGTAACAACAATTTGTAAAGAATTCAAACATAATTTAAGGTGACTCGAATGTTGCTGATACTGGAATTTTGACTCGAACTCGAAGTTTAACTTGGAAAGTAACTCGAAATATAACTTGAAGATCATCTCGAACTTGAACTCGAACTATAATTGATTGTAATTAAGCCACATGCAATTTACCACCTCGCAACTCCTAGAATGTGTGTTCCAGATATAATACACACAAAGAATTTTAAATACCACAAAAGGAACTGATAGGATTCAGTTTTATTCATGTTTGATAAAACATGAGGTGTGTATGTACGCCCAGTAGCAAGTTAAATGCATGTTCAGGTTAGAACCTATAATTATGAGATATCAATCTTGACCCCGAAATTTACTAGGCCGACATATATGGACCTACCAATCTTTACTAATACCCCCACATGCTGCATACTAATAGGAGAAACAGCAAATATCAACTTTTTTCTTTGGTTTCAACTTGCTGAGAATCGAATCCACGGCGATTCAAATATGAGTAAATATTTTATTTATTTCATGGCAGTGCTTAGGTTTCGAGATATAAGCAAAAAACCGCCCCCCCCCCCCCCCCCCCCCCATTTTATGTTTAATTTTAGGCAATGGTGGCAATTTTTTTATTTATGAAATCCCCGGATAGAATTTATAAACTAGACACAACTATAAAGAACATCCAGTTAAAGTTGGGTGTATTTGGAACAGTAATTTCAGAGGAGAAGAATTTTAGAATAATTTACGACGACGGACGTCAAGTGATGACATAGGCTAACATGGCCCTATTTTAGACTGTATGTGAAATGTTAAAGCTGCAAAAAAACAAATACTAAATATCTTTTCGATCTAGACTATTTTTGACATATCAATTTTCAGAATAATTTGATGATTACTGAGCGATATTAAAGTCTGGGGACACGTGAGTTTTATAAGTTATAATTGGTGTAAGACTAGTTTCAGTAACTGTCAATCGGTACTTTATCTTTTTGATCGTTGGTTTTTTATGCCTTGTTGAGTTGAACCATTTTCAATATATCTTTATAATTCATTCTTATGTTGTACTGTTTTGTAACTTTTTTTTCATGCATACTCTAGCCAAAATCATGACTCTGCACCCAAGCGACATTACATATCCAAGTGATAATACAGTCGAAAGTTGTTTACCGACAAGTGACCGTACAGTGAAAAATATTTAGTGACATGTGTTTTTAAAGATTTAGAACTATTTGTGAGTGTAAACATATTGAAGATAAATTTGAGGAAAAACTATATATTAATTCTTTTTAAACACCTTACAAATTTTGAAAACAATTCTTTTATTAAAAGTCAAAACTTCAGCTGAACGAACACAACTATTTCCATAATTTGGGTCGGAGCTCTTAGTTTTATTTCAATTTCCCCCCTGTTTTCTTGCCTTAAGAATGGGTTCGGCACCCCTCAATGTTTGAATAGTAATGACAGATACAAACGTTTTCTCATATACATTACAAGTAAGCCCCAGAGATAATAATGAAAAAAAAAAACACGTATCCGAAAATTATTTCGAATGTCGGAGCCCCGCTTGACAGTCTCCCGAATGACCACAATATAAAAAAAAACAACATACAGTTGCGTTCCCACATTGTGTTTATTAAATAGAGAACATAAACATTTATAGCTTTTTTTTAAAATTTTTAATACCTTTTTAATGACATCGATGGCTTTAATGAGGGTAGCGATGCACTTTACCGTCAGGCGCCAAACGGTCATTTCCGGCCTACGTCGCTTTAGCGACAAAATGGTTAAAGTTTTATCGTGATTCTTCAAAATATCTTTATCGTACGGTAGCGGAATGCTGCCATGTAAGAAAAAAATACTGTTCCCTAAAGATACTTTGTCGTTCCCTCAAGATGCTATGCCGTTCCCACAAGAAAGTGTTATCGTTCTCTCAAGATATTATGTCGTTACCACAAGATAGTTATCTCGTTCCCTTAAGATGCTATATGTCGTTCCCTCAAGATGCTATGCCGTTCCCACAAGAAAGTTGTATCGTTCTCTCAAGATATTATGTCGTTCTCACAAGATAGTTATCTCGTTCCCTCAAGATGATATATGCCGTGTCCACAAGATAGTTATCTCGTTCTCTCAAGATAATACGTCGTTCCCACAAGATAGTTATCTCGTTCTTTCATAGCCGCATATTGCCACCGTATTCTCGAGATTCAGAGATCTCAAATAATTATTTGTTACCGTTATTTTTGGAAAAAAAAAAATTGTCAAAAGCAGTCGATTTTTTTTATCTTCATTAAGAAAATGGTCATGCACCGAAAATTACAGTTAATGTCATTTGACAACAATTTTTTTACCGTTATTCGTAATGAAGGTATCCCCATTACGACCCTCTTTTACATGGCTTTCGCCGGCTGAATAATGTTTTCACAATTTTTTAGTTCCATTTTCACAATGAAGCGAGAGAAATTTTATTAATTAGAAAGATGTACAAATGTATACTATATCATTTGAGCTTTACTTGGCTGTTGATGGAGACCTTACATTTCAGCAAAATAGATATAAGAAGATGTGGTATGAGTGCCAATGAGACAACTCTCTTGTAAATAGGTATACATTTTGGAGTCTCTACAATCTGATGTCAGAATTACACAACGATTCAAAACATGCAGTTAAAATGATCAATTCTTAATTTCTCTCATTCCAATCCATACCAGTCTTATCATTTTACATGTACATATTTCCACCCTTTTTGTCAAGCCTGCGAAATTTATTTATAAAGCGGGACATACCGATAATTGATTACGTCGTCGGCGTCGGGGTCAACATTTCGGTACAGTCTGTGGACCCTCTGTGATTAAAGTTTGTTTGAGACATCAATAACTTTGTCAACCCTTCGTATAATTTCATGAAATTGGACAGAAGGTTGTTTATGAACAAAAGACAGTATCCATCTAAGATTTTTTTTTTTAATTCTGTAGTTTACTGATAAATGGACTATTTTTTTAGTTAACATTACACTTTTACGCTGACAGCAGCATAAAACCGCGAGACAAAGGGTTCCGAATTTTTTGATAACATGTATTCCTTTTCGGTTATCGTCATTATAAAATATTTTTTCTTTGTTCATATTTATAACAATTTTGCTACTTTTGCAGATAAGATATAACTAAATGGCTTTCTTTAAATTATTTATATCGTTCCTTTCTCATTGTTTTAAAACTTTAAGGCACTAGTATCGAGGTTCTTTGGCTATCGTAGTACTACCATTTCATTTTCATAGTAATAATAACATTTGCAAAAGCTATTTTCTATTATATATAACTATTGAAACCATTTTATATATATAACTATTGAAACCATTTTAAGGGGAGTTAGTACCGTTCTGTATTGTTGCACACCCGAAATTTGATTGTTCAAGTTCCAATTTTATGTATATTTTTCGTCTGTTGTGTAGGTAAGGAACAAATATATCCGTGTACATCACAGGCACTTGTTTCTGTCATTTGGAAGGTCAACTACTGTGGATTAATTCATTTTCGTGGCTATCAATGTTCGTGGATTCAGGAAAAAATGCATTTTATTGATATTTATTTCGTGGTTTTGCCAATTTATGCATACAAAGCCTATAGAAAA